GCAGGACTACTAAATATTAATTTGATGATGTGATGGTTTATTTATTTTTTGTTCGGTTTTGAACACATTCTCTGTTATTTGTTGACTTTGATACCGACAATGTTGAGAACTGACATATTGAAACTGTCAAGAATTTAGTTTTGTTAGTTTTTCTTGTGAACAATAAACAAAAAAATATAATTTGTATTTGTTTGTATCTGTCTAATGCAGCCACACCTTTTGAAACACAAAAAAGATTTTTCCACAAATATTTCATGAGAATATTTGAGATTGTGTAAAATTTTAAGGGTGTCCGAAAACTTTTTTCCACCACTGTATTAGAAAATATTACCGCTCCTCATGACTATAACTTGCTCATGAACTATTTATATTTGTACACCTCGCCCCTACCTGGATGTGGCTGTTCTGGCTGGCCAGGTGAAGCGGTGTGGCGCTCTGGTTGGTGCGGGCGTTGACGCTGGCTCCGTGGCGGATCAGCAGGGCGGCCAGCGCAGAGTGTCCGTGCAGGGCGGCGACGTGGAGCGGCGTGAAACCGTCAGTGTTACAGCTGTTAACCCCGAGAGTTCCGGCCTGCATGACTGACAGCTGCAGGACACACAGAGGACACACACAAAGGACACACACAGAGGACACACACAGAGGACACACAGAGTGTCAGATTAATAAACTGTCTCCTGGGTGTCTCTGGTTTAGATTTGGTCTCTGTGACGTTACCTTCTGAGTGGGAGCGCAGGTTGGACACTGACACAGTGGGTGGCAGAGCAGGGCCTCAGACCGAAACTCTCCTTCGTCCTCTTCCTCATCCATCCACTCCAACAGGTAACGCACCTGAACACACACACACAGAACCAGCACTGATTAACGAGTCCACAGGATGTTAAGATGGAGAAAATGCGACTGTTTCAACTTTGTTCTCACCATCTCCACATCACCGTCTGCCACGGCACGCAGCAGCTTCTCCACCTGTCAATCACACAAACACACACACAGCGTCAGTCACCATGGAAACAGCCACAGCTAAATGTAATTCACTAAACTGCTTCTGCTTTTCTGTGCATCAGGTGTTTTGTGGTCTGTTACCTCTCTGTGTCGGACCCGCTCTCCCTCTGGTTTGGCCTCGGAGCCCAGAGAGGAGGTGCTGGAGATGGAGGAGCGACGGCTGCTGCAGTCTGAGGCCAGAGGGGAGCGACTGGGAGACTGAGGAAAAACAAATATGTATCAGTGCAGGTTTTATCCACTCAATCTGAACTCAAAACCAACTACAGGTGCAAAAATACATTTTCATATGCAAACACAATTTTTGCATAAATGCTAGATTAAAAAAAATTACAGTATTTTCAGTTCTGAGGAAACAGAGATCAGAATTAATCTAAGGTCTGTATTTTATGAGTGTTTTTCAGATTAGAAATCATTTAAAAATATTACTAAGCAACTTGTTTTTCATAAAAGGAAATGGTTTGTTTCAGTTTACATGCTGCTCTGCTGTATGTTTGCAATATTACATTCATACTACTGCAATAATTACATTTATACTTGTGCAATAAAAATGTATTTATTTTGCTTCTTATTTTAGAACCTGTGTTGTCAGCTGAAGGTGTTTTTGTGTCTTTATTTTGCACTGATCAGGAGTAGCGCTCCTAATTTTGTTGTTGTATTCTTGCACAATGACAATTTCCATTTCTATTCTATCTGATCCTGACATTCCACTTTTTTACTGTATTATATAACAAAAGTCACTTATTACAAACAGTGATGGAGGAAGTATTCAGATCCTTCGTACTCACACAAAACACTTGTACATCAAAACTTTTTCTAGGCAAACCTTTAACAAGCTTTGCCGCTAAAATACATGATAAAAAATGGGACCTTGGGATGAAGTAGTAGTTATAGTGGTAGAAAACTTTGTTATCCAAAGGGAGAAATTTCTTTTGCAGAAAGGAGTCAAGAATTTCTAGATTTAAAGGTTAACTTCAATATTTTTTCTTTACCTGGACCCTATTTTCCCATGTTTTGTGTCTCAGTGACTAAAAGAAACAACCGTTTTTGAATGTGGTCCAGTATTTAGTGCGAGGGCTGCAGCATGTTTGCACTGTCAATTTGCATCCACTAAAAGTGTTTGTTTTTGCCACTGACAGGCTCAGAAACAGCCCCAAAATCTCCATCGCCAAACCCACCAGACTCCATTTAAATAAACTAATTTTAGCATGTATAAAGCCAGAACATTTTCACATCTAACCGGGTGAATTAAGAGTTTATTTTAACCAAACCAGAGTTGGTGATTGTTGGAACAGTAGAAAGACAAACCAAGCTGCTCTTAGTCAGTCTGAATGAAGTGTGTTTTATGATGATAAAATTAGTGTTTATTTAAATGGAGTCTGGTGGGTTTGGTGATAGTAGTAGTAGTCTTTATTTGTCCCTGTAGGGAAATTGGGTTGCAGCAGGTCACACATGGCATTTCAGAAATATATAAATAAATAACAATACATCAAACGGTGACCAAACATTCATCACACATAGAGCACAGTAGTCACATCTCATGTACACAGATATAGGAGGAGGAGAAATAGTTTTTAAGCTTCTGCTGGTGATTTTGTGGCTGTTTCCTGTGAGACAAAAAGGATCTTACTCTTTAACAAACAGGTCTCACTCTGCAGGGATCCTTTCATAATGTTATGCGCTGACGTCCGTTCTGATGTGACTGCAACAACACAAGGATCTACAAGGAGGTAAAACACACATGTCAATCAGCCACTTTATATTTTTAGGGTGATATTAAATTATTTCAGGTGATCTGAGGTCAGGTTCTCTGCAGGATGAAAGCTGAAGAAGATCAGACTGTGTACCCACGACCCAGCAGATCAAACAGTTTCAGTTCCTGGAAACAGCAGCAGCTAATCAGATTAACTACAGAGCTCCGAAACATGAAAACAATGTCAGGTTAGATGGAGTGAACAACGCTTTGATGTCTTTTTATCCTCTAATAATCTGCAGCAGCTTTTATTAAGTCTCTCTGTAGGTCAGTTCCCACATTTATCAAAAACTTAACTGCTCATGTAGTGATACAGTAAAGTACAAAGCCATATTAGGGCCACTGTGGGGAAAATAAAAACTATTAATATTGAGCTGCAGAAGGGCGTAATATTTTCAGGAAAAAAACTCTAAAAGTCATAACTTTACAAGAAAAAACTACTATTCTCTAAATCTGTAGCCTGCACAAGTTACACCACTGGCACCTATCTTTTTACAGCAGCGAAAGTACAGAAAAATCAAACATATTACCAGAAACATCTGTTAATGACTTACAGAGCAGACGTTATGACATTTGAATGGTTTCTGTAGCTAAAGGTATGTAGAACTAGTAAGTAATCAAAAAATGTATAAGTAGTAGAAGCAGTACTACTTCTACTACTAGTAATAGTAGAAGTAGTACTGCTTCCACTACTACTAGTAGAAGTAGTAATGATTTCTGGTCTCACTTAACACTGAGCTCAACAGCGTCAGTGGAGTTTCTCTAACTTTCAGGCTCAATGTGACAAATGTATAAGTCTGTTTGCTTCTGAAGAAACAGTGTTTGAAAAAGCACAAGTTTTACTCCACTTTGACCAAAAAATGATGTATGTAGAGTAGAAATTGTGGGCGTGACAGCGAGTTGGAGAGAAATATTGAGGAAGCTCTCTGCACTCTGACAGTTGAGTCCTCCACTCTCACTCAGAAGATTCTGTCCAATACACACATATGTGAAAAACATGAAAAAGGAGTTTTTAACCAAGCTTCAAACAAGTTTAAATATTAAAAAAAGTTAAATTGTGTTATAAAAATTGAATCAAACCCACAATGTACACAACATGTGGGACATTTCAAAGTTTGAATGGAGTTTCTATGTGAAGGTATGAATGAGGAGATAGGAGTTGAACATGCTTGAAATAACTTTAATTTGTGGTAAATTTGAACATTCTGCCATCCATTTGAATGGGGAAAAAATTCCCCCCAAAAGTTGAGTATTTCATAAAGATAAGATGCAATGCATGGTTACATCTCTCAATCTATTTTGACCTAACTAATTAAACTTTTAGAGCTCCATTCCTCTTCAAACTTATGTTTGAAGAGTTAAACTTTGAGTGTTTCATGCACCAGTTTCAACATATAAAATTTGCATTCACAGATTGTCAGTTTTCACCAAGTCTCATCCATTGGCAGCAATGCTAAAGCAGTTTAAATAGGGCGCCCTGACTGAGATTTGCCAGTTGGTTGTGAAGACTAGGGCTGTAGTCAACCAAAGAAAATCTTGGTCGACTAAAGTCGCGCATAATCTTCAACTAATCGATTAATCGTGAGCAAAAAAAAATCTGCACGTTATTTTTACTTCTGCGGTGGTGTGTCTGTGTCACTCTGCAGTTACAACTCCAAAACACTAGTAGGCGGTGGAGGACTGTGTTAAGAGCTGTAAAGTTATGTTGAAATCAAACTTTATTTATTCACCTTATTTTCAAACACGGAAGTTAACAGTGATCAACTTACGTGTTTTTGTGCATGACTTCCGGTCAGCTGCTTTCCCTTACCGGAGCTAACGGTGCAAGCTATTTTTAGTTAGTCAATCAGTTAGTTAGTTAGTTAGTCTGTGTATTTTATATAGATAACTGTGCCCACCTTTCCGTTATCCGGTAATTTCCGGTAAAAATAATTCCCTCTAAACGCGAATAAATCGCACGTCAATCAAAAACTATGAACCAAAAAAGCACAATCTATCCCGAGTGAGACAAACTGCTTGATCCCCGTCTCCAGTGTACCAGCAGAGAACCTGCAGAACCGAATCAGTGAAAAAACACACCGGGCTACACAGCCTCTCTACCTGAGCAGCTGAAGCTGCGGCTCGCACCCT